GGAAATTTTACAACGTTGAAATGTGGCTACGTTCTTTCGCGAGGGAGACGACGAAGTATGAACATTTCCTCTTGGAATTTTCAGGCAGCTCGGAGCTGAGCACGAATACAATTTTCTGACGAATTTAAAGAAAAATTCAGATAGTTCACTGAAAATTCACATTCTCAAAGAAAATCTAAGGAAATCAAAGCAAGTTTGGCAACTTCTTAAGGCTCGTGGGTATCTGATTTCCTACAACGTTCTGAAACGTTCAGTGAATTTTCTCTAGAATCTATAAATTGAAAATTTAATTAATTCAATTTGGAAAAATAAGGTGGAGAAGAAGTAGAGGAAGAAAATGAAGAAGTTGTTGGAGGATTTACGAAAAGTTTTATCAGTTGAATTTATTTAATTGCTTTTAATTTATTTAATTTCGTATTTTAGATCCTATATTAAAATTTCTATCCAGAATGTTGCTTGGTTGCAAGAAAAAAAAGTTAACAGTGAGGAAATTAGGCAATCTCTTAAGTAGGTACATAACTAAGCTGATTCTGTCTAAATCCGTCCAAATCGCAAGAAAAAAGAAATGAAGAAAAAAATGCATAGATACGCCGAAAAAACATATCTAACGAGGGCAATCTGACAGTGCATGAAAGTTCATACGATGATCTTGGTGAGCAGGGTGTAAAGTAGAGTAAGGGGTGTACATCGATTCATTTCCATTGGTACCAGTAAAAGGGGTTATACGACACAGTTAGTGTTCGGATCCAATCCGATGTAACGGAGAATCCTACGATGACGTCATCGCTTACGGCGTCTAATACACGCCGAGCTTGATCACCGACGTCTCTCACCTTCGGTTGCCGCGGGGTCGAGAAAAAAAAACAGCCGTTCCTCTGAAAGTCAGAGCGTCGCGTCGCGTTGTCGTCGGAGAGGGAGTCAGCGGCAGGTGTGCCGCTGCAACTGCGGTGTAGGCTATTGATCTCTTTTCCGTTATCCGGCTATAAATGAGGCGCAAGCCCAGGTTCACGACCTTGACTCTCAACCTCCGTCACCACTCCAGTCCTGAGCTGTGCATTTCGCTCCCGAGCAGGGAGCCACGAAACGAAAGAAACTTATCAAAGCCTCCTAAGGACAATCCGGAGGGCGAGAGGGTGGAGAGGTGGTTTACGGAGCGGGAGGAGGGGGGATCGCCCGATTCCGCCCCGGCCGATTTGCTGAATAATGTAAGGGGCAACGTCGCGGTAATCGGAGCGGAGGGTTGGAATTCGGGAGATAGTAAACGCAGAATACTTTCCTGTAATACCTACCGTTTGAATTATTAACGTCATGACGCGCCGGGTTTTTTTACACCCGATTAGTGCTCAAGCAGGGTGTCGACTAAATCAGGCTGGCTAAAAATCAGTACTTTTACAGTGCTTTTTCCACACATTCTAAAGAAATTCAGTACCACATCGACGCAAAATTCGGTACTTTTACAGTACCTCCAATCGACGAAAATCGAAAAATTTCAAAAATTAGAATTTCTCGCTCGAATTGCGACAAAAATGAAAAAAATTCCGGACCTTCTCGCGGATTTTCCGCACTTTTTCGATGCTGCCGGACCGCCCTTAAAAAATCAGTACTATTTCCGGACTTTCCGGACTTGCTGACACCCTGTTAAGTGGCCGACAAATATGACAGGAGTTGGGTGGAGGGGGGAGCTCCGTATGTTTTCTTCCTCGCATATGGAGCAAAGCTTGGGAACTTCATATCAACCCGATCCTGTTTCATCATCCGATCGTCGATAATTTATTCATTCTTCCAAAATGTCAGACATTTTTTCTCAACTTCCAACGCTAAACATACTGACGGGGTAAATTTTTCTTCAATACCTCGCATATTTCATTTCTGCCGCTCTGATTACTGCAGCATTGCGACTTATTCAGTATAATCATTATTCACAAAATAGGCCGCGGCGGAGAGGAGGTGGGGTGTGAGGCACCAAATGACGTAAAGTAGAGTACCTATTAAGAGAAAGTACGGACTATCGGTAATTTTGGAGGTTGGGTAATAAAGTGGCTTACAAATACTCGGAAAAGTTGTCGGGGATGGAAAGGGTACCTTACGTATGGGATGAGGACAAAAAAAATCTACGAAACTGCATTTCTTCATGCTTAGTCCTTTCCCGGAGGAAGGAAAGTAAAACCATTCAAAGGTTGCAAAGTTCATTCAAACAATTTAACTGTTCACAAGAATGCACCGGTGAAATGTGTCCAAAAATGTTTCGGATTTTTGGACGAGATCAAAAAAACTTGGAAATGGCGCAGATACTCCTGATAAAAACAGGATTTGCGGCGGGAAATTTGGAAACACTGGAAACTGGATTGCGAGGGGAAATTAGGCAACACTGAAATGTACTTGCGTCCTTTCGCGAGGAAAACGACGACTGGTGAGACTTCACAGGGCAGGTTGAATGCAGCGGTCGCCCGAAGCGCAACAAAGAGCAAAAACGGAAAATGGTGGTGAAAGAGAATAATTGAAACGGAGGATAAAGGAAGGAAAGGGAAAGGGGGGCAAGGAAGAGGGGGAAAAAACTTTAAGAGGCTGAGGTAAATAAAAGATTGTTTGAGATGAAAGAGGTTTGCGAATTCGTTTAGAGCGAATGAAAAGTCCTCGTAATGCGAAGCGTCGGGGGCGTAATCTGAGGCCATCCTGAGAGGAAATTGGATAAAATTGGACGGGAGGTTGAGTTAACAAAATTTATGACTCTTCGTTAACGCCCTGACACCTAAGCACCGCCGCATTAATATTACGCCCACGTTAAATACAGGGAATGGGACGGGTACTTACCGTGTGAGCCAAAAAACTCATTTTGAGGAGGATTACAGAAACGAATTACGCCAATCCGAACCTGGGATCTGCAACCCTCGAATTAGGCGCGCTAACTACTAAACCAACCTGGCCGGTCGTAGCCTATTCGGTCGGGTTAAATACCATGTCAACGTGGAAATTGCTACTGAGTAGAGTACCCGATACTCGATTCTTTGCGACAAAAATTTCCGCGAATATATCTTAGAATAGAAAAAAAATATAGAGAATATTATAAACTTATAAGGAGTTTCACTTAAGGGAAAGAACAGTGACCGGTAAGAGAACAAGAGGGGGAAAAAAGGGTGCAATTTGGAAGCAATCGTGCCATTTTACGATGATACCACTATTCGACCACGTGGGAGCTCGTGTTGTCTACACCAAAGATTGTAGGCGCACTGCCACAACCCGTTAAAATCACACTTTCACGTTGAGTGAAAGGATTTCCTTCGTACGTTCCAGATACGTGCACGGTGACGATACCACCATTGGGCCGCGTGGGGGCCAATGTTGCCTACAGGGTCGGATTTACCTACCTGCCGCCCATGGGCCGCCCGTATTTTTCCGCCCCCTTCTCATTTGTTTTGAAACATCAATAGATCTTATTCGACAGCGGTTCGATGTATCGTTTGGTTCAAAACAATAGAACATGACCTCAAACAAAAATTTTAGGATTTAATTTGGAAAAGCTGAAAATGAGAAAATTCCTAACAATTTCACTTTTCTTGCCAGCGAGTAAAAATTAAATCACATAAGACCCGTTACCTCAGATTTCTAAATTGACTTTTGAGGCTGTGGTTACATATTGAACCAATCGATATCAATATAATCTCACCCATGTGATCCGTCGATTACGATCTATAAAAACAAAAATTTTAAGATTTAATTTGGAAAAGCTGAAAATGATAAAATTCCTAACAACTTCACTTTTCATCGCCATTTGGTACTCGAGAGAATGAAAATTCGATCACATAAGACCCGTTACTTCAGATTTCTAAATTGACTTTTGAGGCTGTGTTTACATATTGAACCAATCGATATCAATAATCTCACCTGTGTAATATGTCGAATACGATCTATAAAAACCATCAAGTGAACGTGCCGGCGGGGGAGGGGTGTGTGAGACGCGTTTACACGTGTTGGGTACATTTTTTGTGAAAGCCCTGTCAACACTAACAAAAGTTCAGTTCCGTAAACCCTTCCCTATTTGGACAAGGCCTTCCATTTATAAAAAACGAACGAAACAATTATGAAAGAGCAAACATGAATGTGGTTAAAAGATTTAACTTCCACCGCCGCGCCGACCGCACTGTGTTGGCGCAATGCGTGAAGTATTCATGCAGTCTTGTAGGCGCTATGCGTTTCACACCGACCGCTGCTGACCACACTGTTTGGCTCAATGCGTGAAGTATTCATGCAGTCTTGCAGGTGCTATGTGTTTCCAGCCGACTGCTGCTGACCGCAGTGTGTTTGACGCAATGCGTGAAGTATTCATGCAGTCTTGTAGGAACTATGCGTTTCATGCTGACCGCCGCGCCGCTCCGTTCCAGGTCAAATTGCGTGTTTGGTTTCTCTCTTAACTCGACTAATTGAAGGTGTTGTCTCTTGTATCACTGAGAGACGACAAAATTAGAAATTACTATACTTTTACTCTGAGGAAATGAGAGATTTTGTCGTCTTCTCTCGTTTGAAATTCATTTTCTGAATCCGATTTTTTTTCTCTCTTTTTTTGATACCTACATTCAAAAAGATAGGAAAATTTGCCGCCCCCTACATTTTGCCACCATGGGCCGCGGCCCATGTGGCCACCCCCTTAATCCGGCCCTGGTTGCCTACACTGAAATTTGACAGGTAACGGCTTTAAAGACACCTTACCTCGTTCCATAAAAAGCTACTTTTAGAGTGTATTTCCAGTAGCAGCGTCGTTTTACGATGATACCACTATTCGATCACAAGGGCGTTTTTGTTGCCTACACTGAAAAGTGTAGGCGAACTGCCAATACGCCACAAAGACTTCTCCGCATTTCACATAATCCCATGAAGGCGGGGAATTGAGGGAATAAATAAATATACGATTTTTTTCAAGTAAAAACAATACAGGTAGAGTTTTGAACAGAGTGTAAAAGATAAACAATTATAAAAAGAAAGCAGAATAAAAAAAATATAAATACCTTTGATTTGCTATGTCTGCAGCTTGCACTGCGCTTGAAAGCGGATCCATTAGCGACAACATGTCTATCCAAGGGCTGATGTGATGCAGTTGCTCCCATAATAGGCGAAACAACAAGCACAGAAGCTACTAATAACAATTCAGCGAACACTGTTTTTACTATCTGAATTCCATTAATATTTTTTTCTTAAAAAAACCACTGGTAGTTTCACCGCAGAGGAAAAGGTGCTGGCACGAAAACAAGCTCGGCAGGACAACAACATTGTCAAACGCTTGACATCACAAAATTTGACACTTAGAACGCTTCGAAATAAGGCACGGTCTGGCACGGCACTTGGAGCGGGGTTAACTAAAACAATACCATAAAAAAAATACCAATAAAAATCTGGGCTGCTGAAATTTACGTCCAAGTTCATACTCAGCAACACCTTTCTAGCTCCCACCTGACGACAAGAGGGAAAATATGTAACGGAGGAAAAAGATAAATTGCGTATCATGTTCAAGTGTTTCGTTCAATTCAAGATCTTAGAGTACGTAATAATTAAAGTGAAAATTAATACCGCATAAGTTTAAATTAAATAATATTTTCTGTGATTTTTGTATTGAGTCTCCTGAACACTGGTTTCTCGAGGATTTTGAGCGATAGAATGCTTTTCACGAGACACGTACGGCACAAAATTCGAGCTCTTAAGTACGATTGAAAGCACAGGTGCGATTTGGGTCAGGCTGAAGTTTCGACGAAACAAGAATTTGATGGCAAAACTTCCGGACTTCCCACGGACGAATTAAATTTACTTACAGACTTTTCAAGATTTTCCCTGGCTTGTCACCATGTTTCAGAATTGCATGCAAAATCTTACCTTTTACTCGCCCTCAGATTGTGAGATTAATCTGTACGTAAAACAACACGATTCCTGAGACCCCC